GGTTGGGTGGTGGGTTTGGCGTTCAGAGCGGTGGTGGTGGGGTTTGGGTGGTGGGTTTAGGGTTTGGGACGGTGGTTTTGGGGTTCAGGGTGGTGGTTTGGGGGTGGTTTAAAGTTTGGAGTGGTGGTTTTGGGGTTCTTGGCAATGGTTTTAGGGTTCAGGTGGTGGGTTTAGGTTTTGGGATGGTGATTTTGGGGTTGTTTTGGAGTTCAGGGTGGTGGTTTTGGGGTGGTTTTGGAGTTTGGGGTGGTGGTTTTGAGGTTCATGGCAATGGTTTTAGAGTTTGGGTGGTGAGTTTAGGGTTTGGGATGTTGGTTTTGGGGTTCAGGGTGGTGATATTGGGGTTTGGGTGGTGGGTTTAGGGTTTGGGATGGTGGTTTTGGGGTTCAGGGTGGTGGTTTTGGGGTGGTTTAAAGTTTGGAGTGGCGGTTTTGGGGTTCATGGCAATGGTTTTAGGGTTTGGGTGGTGGGTTTAGGATCTCAGATGGTGGTTTTGAGGTGGTTTAAAGTTTGGGCTGGCGCTTTTGGGACTCACAGCAATGGTTTTGGGGTTTGGGGTGGTGGTTTCAGGGTTTGGATGGTAGGTTTGGGATTTGGGGTGGCGCTGCTGGGCTTCGCAGCAGTGCTTTGGGGGTTTTGGGGGCAGTGGTTTTAGGGCTGACCCTTACTGCTGCCACCAGTGGGGCCCTGCAGAGGAGCTGAGCCAGCTGACCCTCCCTGCCCACCGCACCATGAACCCCTGCCCTCTGTACGATGCCAACAGCGGCACCGTTTTCCTCTTCTGCATCTGTGTGCGGCGCCGCGTCTCTGAGTGGCATCAGATCGTGGTGGGACGCAGCGCGGCGCGGCTCTGCTGCTCCTCCAGCCGGGACGGCGGCCTCACCTGGAGCCCCCTGCGCGATCTCACCCACGAAGCCATCGCCTCCGACCTGCCCTACTGGGCCACTTTCGCTGTGGGGCCGGGCCATGGGGTGCAGCTGGACTCGGGTCGCCTGGCCGTGCCGGCGTACGCTTACTACGTTCACAGCCGTCTCTGCGGTGTCCCGCTGCCCTGCTGCACCCGCCCGCATTCCTTCGTCTTCTACAGCGACGACGGCGGACGGAGCTGGCAGAAAGGTTCCCTGCTGCGGGGCATGAGGACCGGAGAGTGCCAGGTGGCTGAGATCGCTGCAGAGGATGGAGGGAGGCTGCTTTACTGCAGTGCCCGTCGGCCGTGCCGCTGCCGGGCCGTGGCCGTCAGTGCTGACCGTGGGCAACGGTTTGGCCTCCCGGCGAGGAGCCCGGCGTTGTGCGAACCGCCACAGGGCTGCCAGGGCAGCGTGGTCAGCTTTGTGCCCAGCACCATTGCATGTCCTGTAGGCACCACCGAGAGCCCCAGCAGGGACACCCAACGTTGGCTGCTCTGCTCTGACTCAACCAACCAGTGCCTGCAATGCCGTTCAGGCAATGAGAGTCCCAGCAGGGACACCCAGCGTTGTCTGCTCTGCACCACCAGCCCTGAAAGTCCCAGCAGGGACACCCAACTCCGCTACCATCCAACCAACCTGCAACAACACTGTGATTTAGGGCTCCACGTCAATACCACACCGCCCAGTGAGTGTCCTACAGGCACCACCAGCACTGAGAGCCCCAATGGGGACACCCAGCGTCGGCTGCTCTGCTCCAACCCCACCAACCAGCTCCAGCAATGTGATTTAGGGACCGAGAGCCCCCATGGGGACACCCAGCGTTGGCTGCTCTACTCCCACCCCACCAACCGGCGCCACCGTCGCGATTTAGGGCTCTATGTCAATACGGCGCCGCCCAACGAGGGGGGCTGGCGGCACCCAAGGGTGCTGCAGGAGGGACCTTGTGGGTATTCTGACCTGGCCGTGTGCCCCGATGGGGTCTTTGGGTGCCTGTTTGAGTGCGGGGAGGTCAGCGGCTGCGAGGAGATCGCCTTCTGCCTCTTCACATTGGGCACCACAGGTGGTGGTGAAGGCAGCGAGAGGCCTTGCCTTGGGAAAGAACCCATTTTTGGGGTTTTGTCCCCAAAGAGCAGCGGGGAGAACTCAGAGGAAGATGTGAGGGATGCAAACCCAGCGGAGGAGAAGCAGCGTTGCAAGGCTTTTAATTAAGACTTTCCTGTGAATTGACTGAGGCCCGTCGTTGGGTTGGCGATGGTGTAGGAAGGAACTGGATGTGACAGGACATGAGGGGCCAGCAGCACACTGCAGTGCCCAGATGGAATTAGAAATCAACATTTTAAGGGGGTGGTGGTGGTGGGTTGGGGTTGGACTTGGGGGCTCAGAGATCTTTTTCCAGCTTCAGAGATCCTGTGATTTTCAGCTGGGGAAAAGCCAAAATCGGAGATGAGTTACAAGTTCCTGACTCTTATTACGTGCCACCAGAGAATATTTCTCCTTTTTTAGAGTTTTTCCCCTGTTTTTTCCATTGCCTGATGCCTGCTCAGAGCCCAGCTCTGTCTGTCCAACCACAGGGGCAGACAGGCGGTGCCACATCCCCAGGCTGGTGATGGCAGCTCAGCGTGGGCCCACATCCTTGTGCCAGCAGCGAATAAATCTCCAAAAAGAATCCAAGTGGGTGGCAGAAGGAGGGATGAGGGATGTGAGGGATGGGGATGGGGGACAGCAAGTGGTGGGGACACGGAGCGATGGGTGTGTGGAGTCATAGGGATGTGCAACATGGGGATGTGGGACGTGGAGAGGTGGGATTTTGGGGTGTGTGGTGATGGGGATGCGGGATGTGGAGTTCAGGAGACGTGGGATACAGTTTGCTGGGGACATGGGATGTGGAGTGATGGGGATATGGGGCAGGAATTGGAAGGAACGTGGGACATGGCATGAAGTGATGGGGGTTTGGGATGTGGAGTGACGGGGAAATGGGACAGGGAGTGGTGAGGACGCAGACGTGGGGTGGATGGGACATGGGGCATGGAGGGGAGGGGAATTGGGGCAAGGAGTGACGAGGATGTGGGACAGAATGGAGATGTGGGATGCAGTGAAGGCAATGTGAGAGCAATTGGGGCATGGAGTGATGGATGCATGGGGCGTGGAGTTGATGTGGAACGTGGAGTCATGGGGAGTGAAGGGGACGTGGGATATGGAGTGATGGGGACATGGAGTGATGGGATACAGGACACGAAGAGGACGTGGTGCTCAGAGCTGAAGCAGGGGGGCTCTCAGCAGTGCCCACCCTGTGTCCTGTGCCTGTCCTTGCACCCACAGTGCTTGTACACCTGGGGCATCCGTTCACCCCTGTTGCCACCGTGCTCCTGTTTCTCTTTGCCATTCCTTGAGGAATTCAGCTGGTTCTGGCCCACTGGGGGCTGTTTTGGGCAAGTGGTCCCAGTGCTGATGTGGGGATGTAGTGGGGTGTCTCCAGACTTACCTCCCTGCCCCTGCTGGGATTGGGGTGAGGATGGCCTAGGGATGTTACAGGACAGAATGGGAACAGCCAGGAGGGGTACAGGGACAATAAGGACCAAGAGGATGGGGACATCAAAAGGGGTTGGGACAGAATGGGGACAGGGAGGGTGAGGATGTGGATGATGGGGACAGGATGGGATGGGGATGCGGAGAATTGGGACACACAGGAGTGAGACAACCAGGATGGGGACAAGGATGATAAGGAGCAACAGGATGGGGACAGGAAGGATGGGGACAGAATGGGATGGGGACAGGGTAGGATTATTAGAGGAAAGAATGGGGATAGATAGGAGGGAGACAGGGTGGGACAGGATGAGATGGGAACAGAACAGGCTGGGGAGAAGATTGGATGGGAACAGGACAGATGATGTGGATGATGGGATGGAAATGCACAGGACTGAAACAACCAGGATGGGGACAAGAAGGGATAGGGACAGAATGGCATGATTATAGGGCAGAATGAGAATGGGCAGGATGGGAAAAGGATGGAAAGGGGGCAGGTTGGGATGAGGACAGGATGGAGTGGGGACTTCCAGGAGTGGGGACAGGAGGATGGAGACAACCAGGATGGGTGTAGGGATGACAGGGAGCTGCAGAATGGGGACAGGATGGGATGGGGACTGTCAGAAGGGGTGGGGACAGATTTGGGACAGGGAGCAGAATGGGATGCTTAGAAGACAGAATGGGAACAGCCAGGAGGAGGACAGCCAGGATGGGAGTGGGATGGGATGGGGACCATCAGGAGGGGTTGGAGACAGGGTGGGAGTAAAATGAGATGGGAACGGGGAAGGGTTATTACAGGACAGAACAAGGGCTTGCAGGAGGGGAACGGGAGGATGGAGACAGGCAGGACAGGGACAGGGATGGAATTGTTGCAGGACAGTGTGAGGATGGCTGGGATGGGGACAGGGAGGATGAGGATGGGATGGGATTGATGGGAACGAGGATGGGGACAGGATGGGAGGGGGACAGAGAGGGATGGGACGAAGAGGAGGTGACAGCACAGCTCACTGCAGCACGGGGCCAGCCAGGAGGGCCCAACCACACCGGGGCCAGCCAGGAGGGGCCGCCAAATCCCCACCACCATCGCCACCACCACCACCACCCTGTAACCCCCCTCATCCCCATCCCATCCTTCCGCTCCCTTCCTTTCTTTCTCCCTCCCTCCATCCCTCCCTACCATTGCGGCCTCCGGGAGGGGGATGCGAGCCGTGGGGGTGCTGGGGCTGGGGGCCCTGCTGGCCTGGCTGCCCCCTGCCCACACCGACACTTTCTCAGCTCTGCGCAGCGTCCGTCAGGCGCGGGGCAATGAGGGGCGGCTGCTGCGGAGGCTCCGTGCGTATCTGCGGGAGGAGAGCGCCCGGCTCCGCCGCCTGAGCAGGTAAGGAACCCCCTGAGCCCAACAGGGGACGCCCCGCAGCCACGCCAGCCCAGCTCCGGGTCGGGGATGGGCTGCTGGAAATGGGGGTTTCAAGAGGAAAAGGAGCAGCCATGGGTGGTACTGGGGGGGGGGGGGGGGGGTGGGATGGGAATGGGACCGTGGGGCTGAGGGCTCCATGGCAGCGAAACAAGATGGGGTTGGAACTGATCCGTAAGATCCCTCCCAACCTAAGCTATTCTTAGGATGGAACTTAGGAATGCTTAGGATGAGAATTTGGGGTTTGGAGGTTGAGGGATGTGGGTCTGATGCAGAGGTGGTGCCACCGCCGCAGGTTGTCGGGTGACACTTTGGGTCCAGCAGATCTGCCCCCGTTATAATTTGGGCACGTCGGGTTGCTCACAGCCCCTCTCCCTGGGCAGTCACCTCCTCACCCGTGCTGCCACCCCATGTAGGTTCTATGAGAAGGTCCGGGCACTGCACCAGGACCCCGGCGCCTCGGTGGACAACCCTTTGTCGGCCTTCAGCCTCATCAAGCGCCTGAGCTCCGACTGGCCCAGCGTCGTCTACAGCAGCGAGGCCACTGAAAACAGCCGTGGTACAGCGGGGATGTGTTGGGACAGCAGAACGATGGGATGGAGGGGACGAGAAGGATGGGATGGAGGGGACAAGGGGGAGGATGGGATGGAAGGGACAACGAGAAGGATGGGATGGAAGGGACAA